CAGCTGCGGCCGCGGCCGCGCCCGGCGCGGACGACGCGCCCGAGAGGCGCAGCTGCTCTGGGGACCAGCTGCCCGCGCTGCCGGGGGTCGCCGCAGCTGCCGCGCAGCTGCTGGGCGGGCGGCGGCGCGCCATCGGCGTCTCGGACGAGGGGGCGGCGTCCGCGGGCGCCGGCTGCGCCGGCGAGCGCGGCGGCGGCGCGGGCGCCGCGCAGCTCTCCTGTTCGCCGCTCAGCGCGCACGCGCGGGGCACGCCCTCGCTGCTGCCATTTGTTGCTGGCGAGGGCAGCTGCGACGGCAAGCAGGGCACGGCGGGCTGGGGCGGCGCGGCGCGGGACGCCGCCCGCGAGCTGTCCCCCTGTCCCGCCGCCGGCGCGGGCGCGGCGGAGCAGCCGGACACGTCCCCCCGCGCGGACGCCGACGACGACGGCGCGTGCAGCAGCAGCGGCAGCGAGGAGTGGTGGTGCGGCGCGCCGACGGGCCTGGCCGTGCGCGACGTGATGGCGGCGCCGGCGCACTTCATAGACGCGGACGCCGACGCGGCGCTTGCGCGTGCGCTCATGGCGCAGCGCGCGGCGACGCTGCTGCTCGTGGACCTCGGCCCCGGCCGGGAGCCGGGGCTCATAGAGAAGCGGGACCTGTTCAAGCTGCAGAGCATCAAGCGGCGCCGCGGCGGCAAGCGGCGCGTCGCGGCGCGGGACCTGATGCACCACCCCGTGGTGGTGGTCGACGCGGCCGCGGGCATCGAGGCGGCGGCGGTCGCGCTGCAGGAGGCGGACGCGCGGCGCGCGGTGGTGCGGGACGCGGCGGCGGGCGGCGGCGGCGGGGGGCGGGGGCAGTGGGTCGGCACCATCAGCGACGTCGCAATTTACAGGTGCGGCACGCGGCAGTGAATGTCAACATTATTTCGGATGGGGGCAAAGGGGGTCGATGACGGCGTGGTTTTGGGGCTTCGTCTTCCGAGGCTGGGCGATGGCTGGGCCCTGCGGGCGACGCGCTCCGCACACGCAAGCTCGCTGTCCAAATGCTCGACCCGATGTCGTCGCGACGCTTTTCTGCGCGCAGGTGCATGGGCTTCCCTCCTAGCGGCCTCTCAGACGACGACGAGGAAGGGCCCCACCCCGGCGGCGGCCACGCCCGCGAGAGCGGCGCCGGCGCCGGCAGCGGCAGCAGCGGCGGCGGCGCGCCGGGCGCGGCGGAGTCGCCAGAGGGCGCGGACTCCACGCCCGTTGCCAGCCGCGCGGCGACGCCGCTCACGCGGCCGGGCAGCGAGGACGCGTCCAGTGCCAAGCGCCTGCAGCAGCCGGCGCCGGGCCAGCAGCAGCAGCAGCAGCAGCGGCAGCCGCCGCCCGGCGGCGCCGCGCCGGCGCCCGCGCCCGCGCCGGGGCGCCCGGGCAGCTTCGGCGCGGTGCTCACGCTGCCAGACATGCTGCTCCTGCGGGAGCACCGCGGCGGC